ATTGCTCTCATCTCTCTTTACGGTTCCCCGAGGCTACGGCATGCGCATAACGGCCTGTCCAGGGTCTCGGGATTACTGTCCTTTCCCGGCGGGCCCTGCCGTTTCGTTGATTCAGGCGCAGGTCTCTGTTGAGCTCCGTTTGATGCCAACCCTGATGCGATCATCTGCAAACTGATGGAGCCGTGTCATGGTGCTACAATGCCAGCATCTCGAGTTTGCATCGCAGTGTCTAGAGCTGATAAGCCACGAGTCAGCCGCTTGGCCAGGACCCGAATATCACGACAGGCCTGCGGGCGGGATCTACGAACCGGTGCTCAGGACACGTTGTGCCAAAAGTAGTCGGCTACCAGGGACCCTCGCTGGCCTCTCCGTTTCCCCTGTGGTCCTTGCATGCTTGCCCGTCGCTGGTCCCATTGTCGATTTGCGACTGGGTGCGGGCCGGGCAGCTCCCTGGCTGGTCTCAGTGCCCAACAGGTGTCCAACTAAGACGTGTTATTGCCGATATGCTCCTCGGAGCCTCTCTGACACATGCATTCTTCCATGCGGCTCACGCCTGGCTTCAAGGCACCCTGCAGCATCTCGTGACACAAGGCAAGCGAGCCCTGCAGGATTATTCGCTCACCCCTCGACGACCTTGGGTAGTCTCATCAGGCCCGCAACGGAGCGAGAAATTTCCGTCCGGTAAAGTGCTCTATCAATACCCAAGAGCCGTTTACCGAGATACGAAATGTGACTATGTGCGCCTACATCTACCCGACTGGCGATAGCCTAGACTGCGCCTCTCCGACGACAGCCACGCCGCAGCCGTTGGTGCGCAAATGGCTCGTTCAGGCGGATGATTTTCATCGAAACCCACAAAGAGTTTCGCAGCGAGATTGGCCCTTCCGATTTGGGCTCTTGCGAATATCAAAAAGCCGTTGACGTGAAACAAAGTTTCTTATGCTGTGCCCTGCGCACCGCGGCACGGAGACCGAGCCCACGGGTGCAGTAGCAGAGAGGGCTGCCCTCAACACGCCACGCATCCCACCATCGCATGGCAAAACGCGCTCCTGTGCGACGATGCAGAAAAGAAAAAAAAAACACAGTGGCGGCTTCTGGAAGGTCGTCGGGTAAGCCGCAGATGGCTGCGTGCAGAAGGATTATTGAAGTCTGGCGGCGTTGGCACTAAACAGGGGCTGGTGTGCACCCTTACAGTGCACTCGTCCCGGCTCGCAGAAATCTCCTCGAGGAATGACGTGCCTGCCCACAATATGCCATGGGTACCCGAAGAGGCCCCTATCCCTGCTTCGGACCTTAATCACAATGGCGTGAGATTGGGAGGCGCTTCACCCAATACGCGGACTTATACGCGGTCGCCTGTCAGTGTCAACACTACCCGACGTCAATAGACGCCGGCAACTCTATCCTAGTCGACAACGTGTGCATAGTTTGGACTACAGCGTGACTTGCAGCTTGTCAGTCCCAATCCGACCACACTGGTGGCAGCTACCGCGCCAGCAAATAAACCTTGGAGCAAACCGATACATGCTCGATACAAAAAGGGACTGCGTCGCACCGAAAGAAATCGTGTCTAAACTTTTCAATCTCGTCGACCACGACGATGCGCACAAAAAGCCACTATCGAGTCAATACGCGCGCTGTCCGAGGATGGCAGGATGTTCGCCCATTGCCATGTCGCAGGGCCCCGATAAACTTTCGCCAATCCGCCCGCACCTTTGTGGCACAGCAAAGCAATGCCAACATGGAGCGTTACACAGAACCGTCGGGGACGCGGGCTCTGAAGAAGCAAACATGGCCTGACCATGCGGGTCATAACGGCCTTTCTTCGCACAAATATCGAGATCTGGCCAATTGCTAAAAATCTAACGCTTTTTCTTTTAGTCGCCACATCGTACAGCTGTCAAATCGGATTGTTTTCACCTCGGTCCGCGCACAATAATCGAGGGCCCACGGGTATTAGTTCACTGACACGTGCCTGAAGAAAATCTTATAGCCGATTCATGTCGTCGGGTATTGATTCAATGCATTTGTTGAACTCAAAACTTCCGCTTCTTGGAGGGACGAGCATTCTTTGCTCGGCGATTTTCCTGCACCTTGCGGTTCTTGCGCACAGCGTCCACGTCTCTGAGTTCGCTCTTGGCGCCTCCATCCTTCCATGCACCGATGCGCTTCTCCTTCGCTTCAGCCACCCTCTTCTTCTGGACGTGATAATCATCGCGGTACCGATCAGCCTGCTTCGGAGCCTTCTCGGCCTTGTGCTTGTAGCGCGGGGCGTTATTGAAGGATCCAGCAGACCGGTTGGGAGCTTCAATTTCGCCCACTCGAGGCATCTTGACCTTGTTCGCCTTGCGCCAGTCGTCGAAGCGACCGCTGCGGAAACTGGCTGCAATCTTTTGCCCACTTTCTCCTCGAATCATCTTGGCTCCCTTGGAGCCATCCTCGTCGTTGGTGCGGTTTACGTACTTCTTCGACTTTTTGTCCCAACGCATCTTCGACTTGGCCGCATCTGCGAAGCCCTGAATCTCATCGTTCACAAGTGACATTTCTGCCGCCCTTGCTGCTGACACGAAGTTGGTGTTGCCGGCATCTCCTCCGCTCACTCCATAGGCCTTCTCCTCTGCCATGTTCTCCTTAGGAGTATATGACATGAAGAAGTCATCATTCTTCCAGCTGTCCTGTTTTGACTTCTTGGAGGATGGTTGCGAGACAGACACCTCGAGCCCATCAGAGTCTGAGTCGTATACGCCATCGGCGACTTCAACCTCGTCTTCTTCATCCTCTGATGCTTCTTCACCGTTTGACTGTCTTGCAGGTGCTTGAAGTGGGTCCATATCGTCCGCAGCTCGTTTGTTGGCTGCTTGCTTGGCTTTTTGTCGTCCGACTTGTTCACGCCTCTTGCGCATAATTTCGGCTGTGTCACTCTGGGTACCTCGTTTGCCGATCTCGAATACGGTCTCCGCGGGCCTGAATGATTGAATTCGTGCAAGCATATCCTCCTTCGCTTTCTGAGCACTATGCGCGTCATCGCTGAAGAGCATATGCGTCTCTGCAAAGTTGGGAGATGCAACCAACTCCTTAGCTCGTCCCACACTTTGTGCACTTGCCTGGTTGCGTGTTCGTTGATATTGGCGCTCACCCTTTTCGGCTACGCTTAAGAGAAGCGCTAGGTCTTCGTCATCGGCGAGCTGTTTGTTCACAATCTCGACAGACGATTCCAGTTGCCATGGTGCCAAGCTACCGACGACAAAGTCTTCTGCATAGTTTGGCTCTTCGTGTGACCTCCCGACTAGGAGTCGTTTACCGAGGAAAAGCTGTAGATCTATGAGGTAGGGTAGGTCGACATGTCTGCACAGACTATACGCCCATCCTTTCCTTCCAGCTCGAGCCGTTCGTCCGACTCTGTGTACGAAGATCTTGGGCTGCGAAGGAAAGTCGTAGTTAATGACGTGGTTGATATGGGGCATATCCACACCACGAGCAGCCACATCGGTGACAACGAGAATGCGAGTCAAGCCAGTGCGGAAGTCCTGGATCTGCTCCTTGCGCGCTGTTTGGTCAAGGTTGCCGTACACTTGTGAAGTTAGCAAGAGCATCACATAAGAAGACACGATTACGTACCGTAAGACACGGCGTATCCCGCGTTGCGAAGAAGGTTCGCGAGATACTCCACTCTGTGCTTTGTTGCAGCGAAGATGATGGTGGACTCAGCGATCGGGACGTCCTTGACAAATCCGTCGCTGCGCTTCCGCTTCTTGCTGTTGGCAGCTTTCTCCGCATCTGCCTTGGCCTTCTTTGATGCGTCGGTCTCGCCTACCGGCACCTTGATGACATTGTCGAGGAGGTGAAGCAGCGCGCCATCACGGTCACCCGACTTGATTGTGAAGTAGGCACTTTTGAGATCTGGAGAGATCTTGCTCTCAGCATCGAGACGAATGAGCTTTGGCTCTTGTAGACCTGCTCTCGCGAACTCTACGAGGGATTTGGGGAGTGTCGCACTGAACAGCAGTGTTTGTCTCGAAGTGGGTAGGGCATGCAGAATCTCAGCTAGTTGCGCCGCGAAACCCATCTCGAAAAGGCGATCGGCTTCGTCGAACACGATGTACTTTACGGAGGACAGATCGAGGCCCATCTCGACCTTCAGATGCAGGAAGCGGCCAGGGGTAGCGATGATGATGTCGGGGTTGGTGGTCATGGAGCTGAATTCTGCGAACATGTTAGTCTCGTTTCTCTTAGAATTGACCTGCCCGTGTACACGTACGCTCTTCGAGGCTGTCACCTCCAACAAGCAGAATAGTCCTCAAATCTGTGCCGCGACCCAGCTCCTTCACAACCTTCAGCGTCTGCAGTGCCAGTTCTCGGGAGGGCGACATGATGATTCCTCGAGCGCCTACTTTGGCAGAATGCGCCTTGAGTTTCTGGATCATGGGGATGACGAAGGCGGCCGTCTTTCCGGAACCCGTCCTAGCCATACCCACGACATCTTGTCCATCGAGCATGAGCGGAACGGCCTTGCGCTGGATCGGAGTGGGAATCTTGAATCCCTTCTGCGTAATGGCCTTGAGAAGCGCCGCGTTCAGCCCCATGGCCTGGAAACCTCCACCTTTCTTAATTGACTTTCCGACATTCGAGGCTTTGCGATTCGAGGCAGCCTGTTTCGCGGCGATGAAGGCTTCGTCGTCGGATCCGTCATCGTGCCCGACGTCCAGATCTACGCCCAGATCTGCGTTCAAATCCGCCTCTTGCTGAACATCATCACCGCCAGCGAGGGCATCGAATATGTCGAACTCGGTTTCGGAGAGCGCCGGCGAGCTCGCGCGGGGAGCCATGACAGGTAGACGGTTGGTAGGGGTCGGAGGCGACGTGATGCACTTTGCCTACCTGACGTCTGAAAGTCGCGCCTCCAGTCTGGCTGTTGGAAAATTTCGGGCACGGGCCTCTCGAAATCTTGGCGGCAGGGATGAGCATGGCGCATCTAGTCGCTAGCTTCCACGTGCCCCGCGATGAGGCAGGCGCGTCCGACGCGTTTTGCCCTCACCGAACTTCTGCCATCGCGTCACCCAACCCACACCCACGAGATGAGTATGCGATCCCCTTCTGATCGGTCTTGAACCCTTTATTCTAACCTCTCTAGACAACTACGGCGGCTACGAAACCTCGTACAGCACCACCTCTTACGGCGCTGGCGGTGGTGCTGGCGGAGGCGGCTTCATACCGGGAGAGGGTGGTAGTACACAGAGCCCTGGCGGTCGACAAGACCGTGCCCAAGATACCCTGCGACCCGTCACCATCAAGCAGATACTTGATGCTCAACTCGAAGTCGGCAGCAATGACGCCTTCAAAATCGACGGCACTGTAATTACTCAGGTATGCACGAATCCCATGGTCCATTTGGCTATACTAACCCCTTCTCAAGCTCACATTCGTCGGTCAAATACGCAATATATCCAACCAGACTACAAACACAACGTATAGGCTCGACGATGGCACTGGCAGCGTAGAGGTCAAGCAGTGGGTCGATTCCGATGCTGCAGAGCAGAGCAACCCTACCAAAGCGAAACTCGTCGAAGGCGCCTACTGCCGAGCATGGGGCAAGCTGAAGAGCTTCAACGACCGAAGATCCGTCGGAGCGACCGTAATCCGTCCAGTCGAAGACATGAACGAAGTCTCCTATCACCTGCTTGAAGCGACCGCGGTACATCTATACTTCACGCGTGGGCCCCCTGGCAGTGCGCAGGGTGGTGCTGCTACGAATGGCGCTGGAGGACAGCAACAAGCGGGAGATGGCGGTAGCTACGGCGGCGGATATGATCTTGCCGGTTACACTGCGTCAGCGAAGAGGGTGTTCAACCATCTTAAGACCACTCCTCAGTCCAACGAGGGTCTTAACCAGCACGAGATCGCGGCGCAACTTGGTATGGATACAACCGACGTTGCAAAGGCTGGTGATGATCTATTGTCGGGTGGTCTGATTTACACCACTGTTGACGACCAGACCTGGGCCATCCTCGAGGCTGATTAAGCATGATGTTTGCAGGCGCGGGGCTAAGTGTATGGGCGAATAAGTAGGGGAATAACCAAATATGCTGGTAAAACACTAGCACAGGCGTAACGATTCATCACGATATTTCACATACTGCATTGAAAGCATCCGCAAGATACAATCTATCAAACACGATTTACTTCTCTGCATTCGTAGAGAGAAACAATATGCACGTCGCAACGATCGCACTTGATACCACGGTGAACACGACCTGCGTCTTCCAACCTGTCTGCACGAGCGCCCGCCGCGTACTGTACCGCGAGACCGTGTTGATGTAATTCGACAACCCAGACAACATGCACGCTATCGAAAGAAGCCAGAAGACGATTCCTAGTGGCAACGCGAAACGCTTTTCTGTACAGACTTGTGAGCATGATGTGACGAGATTTTGCTATTGACTTACCAAGTGGAGTGGGCTCCGACTTGAGATGGAACGACATGACGATGGCAACAGACACGATGGCCATGTATACACTAAGCTTCAGCCACGACAGGAAAGCTGTGATATCTGTTAGCTACGCAATCTTCTTGTACTTTCGGCAGATCCTGGCGTACTTCGTTCATTCGCAGCATGATCCCTTGCATCCGAAGACACGTTATCGAACAGTAACACACCCATCCATGGCCTCTCTCTGAAGGCTACTCGATCGTAGTCATTATTTCTGAAGCGCACGTTAGGACTTGAACTAGAATCACGTAGACTAGGTTGCACGCACTGTTTAACTAAGATGGGCTGGCCTCCAAATATCTTGTAGAACGGTCGGTACGGCTCGGCTAGTATGGACTCATCGGCATCGTCCATACGCGAGGCATCTCGGAAATCCATATTTATCGGGTAATCTGTAGGACCACTTGGGGTTGCGATGAAAACGCGCTATGGCTAGTGGTATGGGGATGCTTGGTCGGCAGACGAATGAGTGTGCTTGTGTGAGACGCCGCACGGACCCCTGCCGATGAGGTCACTACTGCATTTGGACATCTCCAGGGTTTGTGAGAGTTGATACCATCAACACAATCAACGTTTATCGCATTTCAGCAAAAATGGGTAACGAGAAAGAGCTAGTTCTTTTTGGTGGTGATAAGTAAGTGTTTGGGTAATGCACTGTCGCTTTGAAGCTAATGCATGCGCGTGCAGAGGTTGGAAAGCTTCGGATTGGACGGACAGTGATGACCGTGTGAGAGGAGGAGCGTCTCAGGTAAAGCCCATCTCTCAAAATGAATGAAATAATTTGATAACTAATGTACGATTACTAGTCCTACCTTACCATCAATGGCTCCTCGGCGCGTTTCCACGGCAATCTCGACATCACCGCTCTGGGCGGCGCCGGCTTTGCCAGCCAGCGCACTACCGGCGAGGATCGCACCTGGGACCTATCTACCTACGATGGCATTTATCTCGATCTAGGGAAGCATGACGGCAAGAAGTACACACTAACGCTCAAAGACGAGATTCTGCCGCTTATGGCAGATGGACGGGAGCAATCAACTATCAGCTGGGAATACGACTTTGAATCGCAAAGCGAGCTTGGGTTGTTCGTGCCATGGCGTGCAATGAAGCCTACGTATCGCGGGAAAGAGAAGAACGATGCAAAGCCATTGGATTTGAAGAACGTCAAGCGGTTTAGCATCATGATGAGAAGGTAACATTGTTCACCCCACGCAATCACGGTTTCACAGCAATTGACGATCAGTAGTTTCTTCGGTACCCAAGAAGGCGACTTCTCGCTCACCCTCAACTCGATCAAGGCTGTTGCGCAACCAGACGATGTCGAGAAAGGGATTGTGGGCGGAGAGAAGGGCACAGGAGTAAGACTTTAACTACACTACAGTGCTGGTTGGTAGCTAACGCTACGGCAGGGACAGGAGCCTTGGTCGTGGAAGAACTCCAATCTTGTTGGTCTAGCGGTCATTCTGGGCTCGACATGGGCGATCTCTTGGGGATATTGCTGGTGGAAAGGATATGATATGGGCATTATGAGGTTTGGACGGTGGTGGTCTGTCGTGAAGAAGGATACGTTATAGGTGGGGAGTACGCAAGTCGTCACGCGAAGCGTGAGCTCCAGGCATGGCGTTGGATTGGGGACAAAATCGACTCCGTTGATCTTACATATCAGTTCCTACACAATTTTGTCCAAGACGAAAATCTGTATGTATACCTAGTCAGAGTTGGGAATCGTGGCCCGGAAGATTCTATGTGTGAGGAGCAACTGAGCGCCGCCTGCGGTGGGTGCAAGACCGTCCCGTCCTATACGCAACAAGCTCTCATATCGATGCGTTCAAGTGGTCGGAAATTTTCGTACAGCGATTTGCATCCTTCTTCCTTGTCGGTAATTTATAGAGCGCTATGGCCAGTGGAGGTACTCGAAGAAACGCTTGGCGGTATGTTTGTGAGACTAAGCTTGAGTAATCATCAGCGCATTTGCATACGCAACGAAGGTATCCCAGAGAATTGGGCCTCTCCTACCCTGGACGAGAGGTTAGAGAGTGGGCGTTTATTGGCGCAGAGACAAGAAGTGCGCAAGAAACGTCCCGCGGACTTAGGATGCTTGACTCCGCTAGTGCAGGGAGACCCACTTCAGTGTGGACCATTCAGCCTGTTCAGGGTGAGCTCCTTCCCAGATCAAAGTCGCCTCCACGCCGCAAAGGAGAAGCGTTCCTCCAACGTCGCTGCAAGGTTGGACAAGCACTGATGTTCATGTCACTCGAGATATTCCGATCCCTCACCTGCACCTCGTCCTCCAGCTTACGGTTGCTGACTATCTTGGCCCCATCGCCACTACATCTCCAATCACCAATTTCTCCGCTGCCAAGCGAGGGACCATGGCCAGACCTTCCCAATTTCGTCGATGATGGGCAAACGTCCGCTCGCGGAAATTCTCAACCAGGCGCTCAGGACCGCAAGGTGGAGAGACCGGGGCGCTTTGAGGCTGCATGAACATGGATTTAGATTGCATCAACTGCAGTAGTGGCAGCCTTGAGGAGAAGATGTTCAATGTCCACAGACGCCGCGCAGTGGCTATAAAGAGCGACGGGCGAACGGTGTCAGATAAAGTATCCGCAGGTGTTCCCGTTCGTCTACTCAGGGTCCTCGATTTGTTTCCGATATTCCTAGCTTGTCGATAATACCGTTTCGCAACCATGCATCTTACGGCTCTTACCCTGGCTTTGGCTACCACCGCCGTCGCGGCGAAGAACTCCACCCAGCCGTACTCGACATGGATGGCTACTTCCTTCTTGTCCAAAGGCCAGAAGGTCGACAACCACTACGTCTCCTCCGTCATTCGTGAAGGTATCCAGAAAGCCGCTGTGACGCAAAACGACACTGCTCTGCTTGAGTATGCCTCCGAGGCGGTCTCGTCCGTTGTCACATCGAACGGTACCATCAAGGGCTGGAACGCCACTTACTACACTTTGGACGACATCCGGTTTGGCAACAACATCCTCTACTTTTGGAACTCGGAAGGACGCAAGGACGAGAAATACGTTGTTGCGGCCAAGGGTCTCCGAGAGCAGCTGAACCGATGGCCGCGCACCCCCACCGGTGGCTTCTGGCACAGGGCCCCGACTTATGAGAATCAGATGTGGTTAGACGGCATCTACATGGCTGATACCTTCTACGCGACCTACACATCGTACTTCGAGCCCAACAACATCACAGCCTGGAACGACATCGAGCTGCAATTCGATCTGATCGAGGAGCACTGCCGAAATGAGACAACCAACCTTCTATACCACGGCTACAGCGAGGACAAATCGACTGTGTGGGCTGACCCAGAGACCGGTGCCTCCCCATACGTCTGGGACCGTGCTCTAGGATGGTACTTCGTTGCGCTTGTTGAGGTTCTAGAGGTCTTCCCCAAGACACACAAGGGCTACTCCAAGCTCGTCGACTACTTCGTCACGCTCGCTTCTGGTATCAACGACGTGCAAGACACCAGCGGCGGATGGTGGCTGCTCATGGACCCGGAGCTTGCTGGAAGGGAAGGCAACTACATCGAGTCGAGCGCCACCGCCATGTTCACCTACGCGTACATGAAGGGTGTCAGGCTCGGTTTGTTGGAGAAGAAGTACCAGGAGACTGCGTCCAAGGCGTGGGATCTGATGTTGGACGAGTTCATCCAGTACGAGAAGAACGGCACCATCAGCTTCACCGGCACGGTTACTGTGGGAAGTTTGAAGGGCGATGCGTCGTACGAGTACTACACCGGTGTTGAGACGCTGACCAACGACGGTAAGGGTGCTGGTGCGTTCATGTACGCTGCCACCGAGATGGAGTTGGCTGGACTCGAGTAAAAGAGGGTATTTAAACTTCGTTGTATATATTATAGGCATCACAATTGACTCCAAGAGCAAGTTTTTACATGAAGTCGACATAAACTTTGGTTCAGTAAGCACGATCATGGATGCAGCATGTTTCTCGCCGTGACCTCGGAACCATACGCGACGCTATCCTCATCAAGCCAAAGCGCGCGGCATCTCCCAAATCCCCAAATCCAGCAAGCAACACCAACTACACGATGCGAAAGTACAACCTCGACTTTTACCAAAGGCTCTTATACAAACATGTCTTCCAAGCAAGAAAACGGCCCACGCCGTGATTGCACCTCGGCACGCAGCTGCCGAAAGGTCCGTCACGACTCCAAAAATAACCTGTCGAACGCGGGTCCCCTGAGCAACCAAGTGGAGCCATGAGCCACCGCCCCGAGCAACGCGCCACTGCCTCATGTCAACAGCTGGGCCTTGGAACCAGAACAGGGCAGAGCCATGGCCTCATGGATCTTGCTGGAAGCATCGTGTGACGTGCGCTAGGCCGTTGGCACTGGCTCTGCGGATATTTCTTGACCGTTTAATCGTCCCTGTTTGCTAGATCACTAACAAATCTCCGACTACTTACCTGTACATTCCAGTGAACAAGAGAACGGTGGTACTCGCTGTCAGACTACTACAATACCTACGACTGTACCCAATGTAAGTCCTTGAACATCCTTTATGCATCACCTTCCTAACCACCACTCCAGTAATCCAGCCTTCAAACCTCACCTCCACCTCACCCAAAATGTCCCTCATATCCTCCGCCGCCTCTCCAAGCGCAACAAGCACCTCGTGCACCACAGCCGACTTCTCCGTCTTCCCGACCCAAGACATATTCTGCGGCGTAGGCAGCACAACGGGCGTCGCGTCCAACACGTCCTCCGCACTCAAACAATGCTGCAAGGACGCACCGGTCGAGGAATTCAACGGCTCATGCGGATACTACTGTCTCAGCTACGAACAGACGGTTGCTGATCTGAGGACTTGCTTCATGGACAACGGTGTCAACCCGAGGGATATTCTCTGCTCGGGGAACAATACTGCGAGCGCGACGGGCACGCCTAGTGGTGGTGCGAGTCGCACGGGTAGTAGTGGTCCGGATGCTACGGGCGAGGATGGGAAGCCGGATACGGGGGCTGCGGTGCATGTGGGTGTGTCGAAGACTGCGGTGGGTATGCTGGGCATGCTTGTCATGTCGGCGTTCGCTGGGGCGCTATTGTAGGGTGCTATTGTGGTTATGAAGGATGTCTACGATGTGGTTGCTACTTTACCTTTCTCGTTTAAGCATAATACCAGATACTTTCTTACTTTCCACATCCCAAGTCTCCTGATTGCATCTTCTCGAAAATTGTTGCAGAAGCGTGGCTTACTCACCATTACAGGCTGTTTTCGTTGTGCCTCCTGCTTACACGAATGACCGCCAATCACCGCTTCGGAGAGACGAGTTTCGCGTACAATGGTTGGCATACGCATGCCTTGGCGGTTGTGCATTATTTATCGATCGATGTCTCCGTATACGGTCTCATCATGCGATTGGACTTCACACAACAGGTCATGGGTGTCTATTGCCTACCGACACAGTGGTAATGCAACTTACCCCGCCAGACGTGTAACCAGAGCCTGCATGTAGAAGAGAGCGATCATACGTCTAGTGAAGAAACAAAGGGTATATATGGCGAGGTTCGATGCCATTTCAGTCTGCCTTGTTGGTGGGACAACAACGTGCTCAACCCACATCTGAACCATGGGTACTTTAGCTGCAATAAGCATCACCATCTCAGTCATAGGACTCTACTACATCCTCAGAATAGGACGTCGAGAAGCCCATCTACCACCCGGTACCTCCCTCCCCATCCCCGATCCCATCCTATTCCATCATACCCCAAAGTTAACCCACCCATCTAGGCCCACGTCCCCTCCCCCTCCTCGGCAACGTCCTCGCCATACCCACAAAAAACGCCCAATTCCAATTCACAAAATGGGCCTCCCAATACGGCGACATCTACAGCCTCAAGCTCTTCCACACCACCACCATCGTCCTCAGCTCCCGGCGCCTCGTCCGCGAGCTCATCGACAAAAGGGGAACGACATACAGCAGCCGTCCACCCTTCGTCTTTGCAACAAAGTATATCGCGCGCGATCCCGCGAATATGCCTCTAGTCGTCTTCATGCCGTCGGGCGAGAAACTGAGGTTATGCCGCAAGTTACTGGCGCAGTGTTTCAACGAGGCGAAAGTAGAGAAAGAGTACATCGGACTTGTGGACGCGGAGGCTAGCCAGATGCTGTGTGATTTTGTGAAAGAGCCCGAGGAGTTCATGGGGCATACACTGAGGTTCGCGAATAGCACTATCAAGAGTCTAGTTTACGGAACAAGAACGAGACATGCGGAGCAGCTGGAGGAGTACAAGGCTTGGTTTGACAAGTACGTTGCGTTGCTTGAGGTTGGTGCAACACCGCCTGTGGATCTGCTACCGTGGTTGATACATGTGCCGCAGAGTATATGGACTGGACGCTGGAAGAATTGGAAGGACAAGAGTGAGGAGACCAGCAAGGCTGTTAATGCTGCGTTTACGCAGATGGCGAAGCCGGTGTTGGAGAGGAGGAAACGGGGTGTGCGTGCGCCGACTGTATATGACTATGTGCTGGATGAGGGCGAGAAGGGGATCGATCTTACGAGAAGAGATTTGGATGTGTTTGCTGGGTCGCTAATTGATGCCGGAAGCGATACGACGGCGTCTGCTATACGAGTTTTCATTCAGGCGATGGCTAGGTATCCGGATGTTCAGGAACGAGCACACAGACATGTTGATGAGGTGGTGGGAAGCATGCGGTCCCCCGGGTGGAGCGATGTCGCGAGGTTACCGTATGTCGTACAGATTGTCAAGGAGGTCATGCGTTGGAGACCTCTTGCGGCCTTGATCATGCGCTCTACTACTGCTGGTATCCTTCACTCCGCTCGGATTATAAACCAACCGTGGCTAATGTGAAGCAGATGACACGATTGACGGCTACTTCATCCCGAAGGGCACGACTGTTCTCATGAACGTCTGGGCCTTGAACCATGGCCCATGTGATGTCGACACTTGTGAATCCCCAATGTCGGTTTTCAATCCTGATCGCTACGAAACGCGTACGCACACTTCAGCTCAGTACGCAGCATCTCCCGACATTGCCTCACGAGATCACTTCACTTTCGGTGCTGGTCGTCGTATTTGTCCTGGCATGCATCTTGCTGAGCGCAGTCTCTTCATTGCTGTTGCAAAATTACTTTGGGCCTTCGAGTTCAAGGAGAAGTCTGGGAAGCCTATTGATATCGATCCTGACACTGGGTTTATGGATGGTATTGTGAGGACGCCGAAGGATTTTGAATGCGAGATACGGGTGAGAGAGGGACGCGAGGGAGTGCTTGAAAGGGAATTTGCGGAGGCGAGAGATGTGTTGGTGAAGTATGAGTTGTGAGAGAGTTGTGATTTGACGTCGTGTGGCCCGAGAACCTTGGAAGCCTGGAGATAATGTCGTTAGCCCTACAGCACCTAGGATGCTAGATTCATGTCGCATTCACCAGAACAACCACTAAAGGCAATGCCCAGCTAGAAGGTCACATTATCTCATAGAATGTTTACTTGTCAAGAAATAGTAGTATGCGTTGACAAACCTGAGCAACGCGATACGAATTGCACCCCATGTTGGCTTACGTGAGACAGCCACGATATCACAGCCAAGTTGCATCGTGACATCCAGCGCCAACATGCTCTTGATTTCTACTTGTCGAGGCTCTTATCCAACCCATTCAACGGTATATCACGGCGCCTGAAGTTCTCGACCTGCATGAGACTGCCCAATCAAGCCTTGAGCCCACCACACTTGCCGTGCATAAGAGTGTGCATCGTCACCGCCGTCCAGCACAAGATGTCGTGCTGCAACACACCGCATGGCGCCTGCCCATACATATCCAGGCATTTGAAGGCGCAAATGCTGTCGAGCATCCCACCACACTTCACAGCTTCCCGTGCGTGAATAGGCGCCGAACGTCAACAGACATACCTATCGCTAAGGTCATCACATCATCATTTCGCACGTTTCGAATCAACAGCTATACCTCTAGACAGAAGCCGCCACGATAACGTCGTCTCGGCATCTTCCCGAGTCTAGCACTCGCGCCCATCCCTATCGTCTTCCCTGTCGCACTCTCCATCGCGGACGATCATCATCGCCCGACGATACCATGCCTGAGGACCCGCGCACATCCTCAGGTGAAGAGAAGAAACAGTCTGGGCCCCCCTATAGTATCAAGGGGCAGCTCTTTGCTATTTCCGGGGCTGGGTCAGGCATCGGACGTGCGACGGCTACACTGCTGGTTGCAAGCGGAGCAAAGGTCGCGCTGGGAGACAAGAATGAAGAAGCAGTGTCGCAGATTGCGAGGGAGCTTGGGGCGAGTGCGATATGGGCGAAGGTGGACGTTACAGTTAGGGAAGAGGTAGAGCATTGGCTGGCGCATGCGCCGACGAGGTTTGGATTGAAGCAAATCGACGGTATGTCAACGTCCTGTCTTCAAGGCATGAATGTGCCTGGCGAAGTCGACATCTGCAGGAGTGCTTTGACTGACATGAGCATCATGCAGGCGCAGTAAACCTCGCAGGAATTTCAGGTCGACTCGAAACTGCGGCGAAGTTCGACGCCGCGGACTACGAGGCCGTCTTCGCAGTCAACGTCCGAGGCACGTTCAATTGTATGTCAGCCGAGCTGCGCAACATGCGTGTGGCAAGTTCAGGTGTGCCAGGCGGGTCGATCGTGAACGCTGCGTCGATAACAGGGCTTGTCGGCAAGCAAAACTGCTCCGTCTATTGCGCCTCGAAGCATGCCGTCGTTGGGCTCACAAAAGCTGCTGCAAGGGAGCAGGAGCACACTGGAATTCGCATCAACGCCATCGCACCGTAAGTTCTTCTTTCCACCACTCAAAGGAACTCTCTCCGTGTTCTCCTAGGTCGTTCTTTCGCGCGCGCAATGGTGCCACTGGAGGAGAGCCGGTCGCTGACGTTGACGCTACTTTAGAGGCTTTGTCAACACACCCCTCATGGACGCCCTCGATACAGAACTTGGCTTCCAACTCCCGAACAACGCCGTGCTCGGCCGACGCGCCGACCCTATTGAGATAGCGAAAATCATCCAATTCCTGCTAAGCAGCGACGCGAGCTACGTTACTGGCTCTGTGTGGCAGGTCGATGGCGGCATGCTGTGTTGAGTTGAGATAAGGGAAAAGAAAGACGTGCAGACGCGAATTGGTGTTGCAGAAGCGAGAGTGGGTACGAGAAGAGGTCGCTATACACGCTCTGGGGTTAGTTTGGGTTTCTGCGATGGGTGTGGAGTATTCCCACTTTGGGAAGACGACGATGGTGGAAGCGAGGCAAGCTTATGCTTACTTGCCGAGATGTCATACAACTGTCTTTTTCAGCCTTACAAAAAGCAATGTGATCTCCGTCGTTGAGCTGGGTACACATGCCGCAGACCCGTACCAGAGTTGATAGAGTCGACGTTAATGCGAGTCCCGCACGCATGTACTATTCTGGGAAAGGGTACCTAGGTAGTTGCAATTCGTTTTCCTCAGATACACGAGAGGCGTTGTGGAGTTGGAATTATCAGCACTGAATTGCTTTTTGGTTACTATCGATAAAGCCGCGCCGACACTTTCGATGATGGCATGATCAGACAATGCACGTTCGGTTGCGGACTGTTGTTAGACAAGCGGTAGTGCTCTACTTACGCGTCAAGTGCCGCTGCATACCCCTTCTAACAGGGCAGCGATCTGCACCCCAGCCGTGCTGCTTGCGAATCCGCGGCTCGGAAGGTATTGCGCCAACCTTAGAGTTTGTAGATCTCGTTTTCGTGGCAGGTACGGCTAGAAGTAAAAAAGCAAGAAAGCAATGAGTCGATCTCGGAGGGACTGCCTAGTGTCTCGCTGAGTTTCCCTGGCTGGGCAAAGTGCTACTTTCTTGCTTCTTGTCGCCTGAGTGAGGTTGGGGAAGAGGGAGGGTTGGAGCAAAGTTAGACTAGTATCAATGCCGCGGACCCGAACCAAAAGTCGAGCGAAGGCGTTGACCCGGCCCAGAGATCGTGAGCCAAAGTCCATACCACCCCCATACGTGCGGGATGCACCGACCTCGAACCAGTGCTCAATGTGGTTTTCTAATCATCAAATGCCATGACATCGAAATAACGGCATGGGCAGAAAATAGTAGTCTCGAACACAGTGTTAAATGACTCGTGGTATTTCATTTCACAAGCGCGAAACTCTAAATCAACAAGATAGTTCCCCTGCCAATCACAGGCGCCATCATCTCCCCATGGACCTGAAAACCTTCTCCCGACGAGGATCAGTGGGCAAGGCTTGAATGACGACAGAGTCGAGCTCGCGATTCGATCCGTTCGAGCCAATGCGATCATGGTACTTCCACTCCGACTCCGTGCTTCGGATGGAGAGCGCATCCGGGGACTTTTGTCTCCTGTCGTTTCCCCGCACGCGATCGGCAAGGTTCTGGGATGCGGAGATAAACCAGGGGAGTCTGCCGGCGGGTTTGACTGGGTTCCTGAGTTAGCGGCTGGTATTTGATGATGGGAAAGTGCGGCGAGATGGGATGCGCGATGTGATGAAACTTACTAGTCCAGTATTCACGATTATCTTCGTCTTCGGGAACGATGTATCCGCCGGATATAAGCTTTGTCAAATAGATCATGCCGTTGAGTGCCGTGTACACCATCAAGCCCGCAATAAGACCGTAGGCTGCGCTGTATCCGAATGGGATGAACATTACGGTTACGAAGGCTGGGACGGCGTCGCCGATGTATCGCCAGTTGATGGAGGAGATTTGTCGCATCATCAGGCAACCGACCTATATTTACGTTAACGCTAGCAATATGGAGGTGGTGCCAGGTGACTTACGAGAACCAAAGTACTTCCAGTAGCCCATGGTGGGATCGAAGCGAAGATAGGTGCGAAGAACATCGAGATGAGGAAGCAGACGCCACAGGTCATGGCAGTCAGTCCTGTTTTCCCGCCCTCTGCAATTCCTGCTCCACTCTCGATGAAGGCAGTGACGGGTGAGCAGCCGAGAAGTGCACCCATGGAGATGCAGAATGCGTCTGTGCAATAGGCTATCGTTGATCGCGGAAAGTCTCCGGTCTCTGCGTCCACCACTCCAGAGAAACGGGCCATGGAATAGAGCGTAGCTGTGCAGTCGATAATGTCAACATATAGGAAAGTGAAAAGAGCGAGTGCGAAATGGCCAGGTGCGGCGTTGACGTTCCAGTCTAGGGCGTTCAACGTGCGGTTGATGGGATGGAAGTCCACGACCTTCTTGAAGAACTCGAAGCGGTTATCGCCGACCTCGGTGTAGGGAAAGAAAGTGACTGAAGTGCCTCGTCTGTATGCATGTTAGTCTTCTGAGCTTGACTGAGATGATGAAGAAAGCTTACGGCCATGAGATGATTGACACGAGCAAAATAGCTAGAATCATGGCGCTCTTGACCTTGTATGTCATCAAGTAGGCTGTCAAGATACCACCACCAAGGATGCCTAGCCACATCTGCGAGACATGTTAGCGATGTTTGTTGAGCCGGCATCATATGACCTACAGTAGGTGAAGTCATCTTGTGACTTGTGCATGAGCCAAACTCATCCTTGTATTGATCAGGACACCCCGCGATATCAAGTGGGGTGCTCTTTGAGCCCGCAATGGCACCAATGCCCGCGTTGTTGCTCAGTCCGACTTCTGCAAGAAAGAGGCCTATACCACATGCCGCGGCGATCTTGAGCGATACTGGTATGATCTTGACGAGCCATTGTCGCATGCCAATTAGTGACAGGAAGATGAATATGAAGCCCTCTGCAAAGACGGCAGTGAGCGCGAGGTTGTAGGAAATGAGGCCTTGGCCATGGAAGCCGACGATCTGGTAGGCGAAGTATGCGTTGAGGCCCATACCCGGTGCAAGGCACACGGGCATGTTGGTGAAGAACCCAAAGAGGAAAGAGCTGAACCCGGCTACGGCCGCTGTAGCGGTGATGAGGTTGCGGTTCAAATCTGAGCTTGGATCAGCTGAAGTTGTTGAGAGTATGGACGTTCCCTACCCTGCTTGCAAATGAGGTATTCCGTGTTCGTTAAGCACAGAGGGTCTGTGGCATCATTGCACACGCAATTACCGCCTGTATCAGCGAGGATAGTAGCCTAGGCTCGTTAGTATATTGCGAGACATAATCCTTGGAGAGCTTTACATTGACCGCGATGATGTATGCCATTGTGAAGAAGGACGTAAGTCCTGCCCGCACTTCGGTGGTGAACTTCGTATGCAGGATCTCATCTTTCTGCGAAGACAGTCAGTCATGTTCGAGATATTACTACGACTGCCGAACATACATGCCCACAACCGGAGAGACGGAATATCCTGCCGAAAGTCGACCGGCCGACATAGACGTTGAACGAGTGGATTGAGGAACGTATGGACTCCATGTTGCAACAGACGTGAAGTTGGCCGCCAGTTGGGGGTTTCAATCTCCAGTATAAGAGATGCAGTGATCGGCAGCAGATAGCCCTGCGTTGACTATATTTGTGTCACGCACGTCCGGTATAAGCAAACATGAACGATTCGGAACGAAAAGGTATATGGTATTGATCAATCGCCAATGCGATTGCTTAAGGTGGGGCCATAAGCAAAGGGCCTTCCAGAAATGCAATGAAAAGTATCGACGACAGGGCGAGCTGGCTAGACATCAGTCACACTCGAGGCGAAGTGATATCAGCCGTAAGGGATGGCGGGAACGACGAGGGTAGGCATGCGGCGCGGCAGGGAAAAAAGCACGATCTAAGAAGCTTTTGGACGGAGTGACGGCATGACAACCTAAGACGGCCGCCGCAAGCGTAGTACAAGTGAATTGAACGGCGGCAGGAGCGTTGTCATGCAGCTGAAGCGGAGACTCGTGCAGCGTGCTGGAGTGTGGCAGTCTAGGCTCGTACTCTCGTGGCTTGACGGAAGCGAGTCAGGGGCCGGGGAGCCTAGCTAACGCTAGTCAGGCACGCCCGATGTCGATCAGGCTGCATCATGACTGGCCAAAGGGATGATGTCTGGTGCCCCTCCCGCATCTGCAGCAAAATGACGGGGCGACTAAAAGCCTTAGTAGAACCTTGTGCCTCTCCCTTGCCGATTGCTTCTGACAACACAGACAGCAACTAAGAGCAGATCACTTACAGTTCACGCCGCCCTGGCGGTTCAGCGGCCTTGCAGCTGATTTTGTCCATGGCACCGGTGTCCGTCTTTGATCCCACGGCACTGATCAGAGGGATCAACTGTGATCGTCGGCCTAATTGGGTTTGCAATTCGTAGCCCGCGGGTGCAAGTCAAGGTCGGCGGCATCATATCGGTTATTCAACCTAGCAGCCGTCATGTTGGCATGTGCGAATCGTATCCAGCCACAAGCGGTTCTGCAAAACCTTGGGCGGAGACACCGAAAGTTGGAAAAGTGAGCCCGATAAGCCAGCCAGTCGCAATTGCTGTACAACCCGAGTATTTGCTTTTTCGGGGAAGAACCGAATGGAAGAGGCGTTGCTTTGCACGCTCATACCACGTGTAGGTGTATCTTTCCCCAGCAGTATGGTCAACAACCCGAAAGCTCACGGTGCGCTTAGTGGTTTTGCGCCGTGGAGGAAGCACGGCAGAGCACCAGCGCATGAGTTCGGATTAGGGAAGCCCTGATAGTAGTCCTAAAAAGGTCAATAACGCCACAGTCCGAGTGGTGCGACAGCGTTTCGATGCCGCGGAAACATGGGACCGTTGCGTAACTCGCTTTACGGTTGCGACACCCTCCACCCAGGTACTTGACTACTTTTCCGTCGAGAGGTGCGGCTAGCCTTGAGTGCTGGATAGCCTTCAGTCGATCATTCGCTCCCACCCCTTGAAAGATCGACTTATAGTGGCCCCGCTGCACTCCGCTAGACTCGCCGCTGTGATCAAACATGTTCGCAACCGACTTACCACTGGATCAAGAGGCGGAGTCTGTTGGAGCGCGGAGGGAGCGAAAGACCAAAGAGCGATCCATCAGGTCAAACTCCATCCATACTTCACGAACGTCCACTAGTTCCGCAAACTCTGGCTCTACCGACCGTGAGCAATGGTGGTCTTCAGGTCTGAAGAAAGCAAAGAGTATAAAACCCAGGATACTACGACCATCAACCGGACAAACCACAGATTCTCAGA